ATAACATTTAAAATTGCCTTGGAAAGGCATTTGGCGGTTGCGCCTGAAAAAAGCGCGAAGAGGTCGAGCAGAAGGCAATCTTACTGAAGCATCATATTCAATTTCATCTGATGGAAGGGGCAATTGAGGGGAAGAAGCTGGTGTTATGAAAGGAACGAGCCGAGAGTGAGATGTATCTAGTGGAGTTAATGTTGAAGAACGAATGTGCAACTACAAGTCCAATAACGCTTTCCTTCCGAGGTTATTGATAGAGAGAGAGACTCTCATCATGATTTCCTCAATTCTCGTAGTTAGGATGAGACTCTCGCATTCAAATGTTTAAGGTGGCTACCACCAGAGGGACAGGAGCCGCAGTTTCGGGCAGAAACATCAATCATGTTGGCATAATTTCTGGAAATTTTCGGAGTTGTACATTAGAAAGTAATTAGAAATGGCATATATCTTCTCGTGAAAGAAATTTTTCGAGTTAGTTCTAGAATTGTGAAGTTGGAGTTGGCACATCTGCCACAAGTGAATTCAGGGGCAGCCTCGCTTAGCATCACTGTTCCCCCTATTATTCGTCTCCTCTTGCTAACAACAATAAGTCAAGACAATAGCACACGACAACCATTTCCGTCCCAATGCAAAATAACAAGCGAGTGCTCTGATTTCGACGCATGTTTGATCTGTTTGATTCCAAATCAAACTCTCAATTGTTCTCATGAGACAATAACCTCAATACCATCCGAACTCACTGTCTTTCCCTCCCATTGTGCGAAGCGAACCCCTCGAATGAATATGTAATCTCCATTTTCTTTGCATCTTTCAACCTTTCTTTTCTCTCCTTGGCAGTCATCAAGCTCTCATTCGTCACCGCAACCACTCATCCAATCTCACCACTACCAACAACCACCACCACCACCATGGTCTCAACACGAGCCAAACCAACTTCTCCGCTCCGCTCCCCTCTCGAACAACCAACCATCCGCCGTCCCCACCCAGCGCCTCGCCCACCCAAGTACTCGCCAGGCCTGTCCGCTGCCGTGGTGGCAGACCTGTTGGAGGACGTGATTGATATTGGCCCCAAGGCCACACGGGTGATGGACGTCTCGAGCCATGTGGAGAGGAGGGTCCGGGGGGAGGTGTTGTTCTTGACGAGGAGGGAGGACGAGGAGAGGAAGAAGAAGGTATGTTTTTGCTGAAATGAATTGAGAATGAGGCTGATCAGATGGAATAGGAACGAGAGAGGAGACGAGAGAGGGCTAGGATGGGGGGAAAGGGGAGGGTGGCGAGGAAGAGGGCTTGGAAGCGGGGTGGGGGGCTGGGACGGAAGAGGGGAGCGGGTGGGAGGTTTGACTAGGGAGGAGAGGGGTGGGATGGGATGAGATGGGATGAGATGGGACGGAACGGAATGATGGATGACTAGATGAATGAATTCTGTCTTGACCACTTGATCTTGACCTCTCTGATGAAAACTTTGTGAGAATTGTAGTAAAACTCAAATGGAATGAGAGAGGACTGAAGGAGTAAGTTGACAAGTAGAAGATTGAATATTGAAGACAATATCCACGTGGCTGTTTGGACTGCCTTCACTGACTAACTTCTTCTCGTGCGTGCTGCTGCAATTTCGTCGCCAGCACGGAAGCTGAAGAGTCTTCCAGAAAGTGCAAATATAAAATCAGGACATGCGGAGGAAGACAAAGGTTCCATAAATTTACCGCGAACGAAAAAACCATTCAGACACAGACTTCTCTCTCAGCTCTGCTTCAATACTCAATCAAGTTCTTCTAGCAATAAACTTAAGCAGACGAAGCCGCTTGACTCGGGCACTGACATAGCCGGTTGTGAAATAGTCTCACGATGATCGAAGAGAGAAGGCGGAAACGTGTGAGGCAGCTTGTCCTAATTCACTTGCCATGAGGTTGGCCACATGGACTGAAACTCTGAGGCATACCCCGCCGGCTCTATAGTAAAGTCCGGTGACAAGGAATTTATCCCGTCCGACACTGAACTAGTACTGACCCAAAATCTCAACGGTCGGCGAGATCGATATCTGATTGGTTGATTTATGGCGGAGTTAGGACATAAGAATATTTCCCTTTCGACTTCAAGGCGCTATAAATCTTGTTCCATCTAGGGACGAGAAGACACTTTCAGAATCCAAGTAGAAATATTCCTGCTCGAAAAATCTTGTCAAACTGAGCCATACGCAAATATTCCAACATGGCCGCTACACGTTCAACAATCGTCCTCATTACAGGAGCCAACAAAGGTATTGGCTTCGAAATCGCCAAGAAGATCGCGAGAGAGCAGCCTTCCTATCATGTCCTCCTTGGCAGCCGCGATTCTGAGCGGGGCGCTGCTGCTGCGGCAAAACTCCAAGCAGAAAAACTTTCCGTCGAAGCCATCACCGTCGACGTAACTAGCGATGCATCAATCAACGCCGCAGCCTCAACAGTAGCGTCGAAATTCGGACGCTTGGATGTCTTGATCAACAATGCCGGAATTGCTATCGACGATAAGCACGAACCTGGCAAAGATTCTCTAAGAGACATAATGTTCGAAACCTATAATGTTAATGTCTTTGGCGCCATGCAGGCGTTTGAAACATTCGCACCTCTGTTGGAAAAGAGTGAGAATCCGAGAGTGGTGTTTATGTCCAGTAATTTAGGCTCTTTTGGGCAGCAGGGAGCAATGGGTGGTTATCCTGTCTATCGAAGCACCAAGTCGGCACTCAATATGCTGGTGATGACGTATGCGCATAACTACAAAGAGAAGGGTTGGAAGATCAACGCGTGCTGCCCAGGGTATGTTGCAACGGATCTGAACCACTTTCATGGTGCTGGCAAAGTGGAGAGTGGTGCTATCAATGCTGTTAGGTTGGCGACATTAGGGAAGGACGGGGAGACAGGCACATACTCGAATAAGGAGGGACCTCTTCCTTGGTGATCGGGCTCATGGCTTGGGAGCTGTATCATCTTGTCTATATCATGGCGGATGTTGTGTTTTTGCTCATGAGAATCAGAGCTTCCAAATTGTCCAATCATGAAGCTTCATGTTTCCAATTACTCCCGCGACCACACCCTGGCCCTCTTTTCCGCCTTCCCATCTCTTTGGGCCTGCGAAGTGATTGACGAATCCTTCAGGTCCGGAAATAAGCAAAAGTTTCGGGCCCTGCAAATTGCTTCTCCCTGAAATCTGTGTGAGTTGTGTTATCATCTTCTGATTCAAAAATTTGTTCTCCTGGTCCACAAGGTAGTCAACCGAGAGCCGACCTGGATGCTTATTCTGGAGTGTCTCTAATTCCTGTACAACAAGTCCAAGTTGCTGGTGATCCATCCTATTAAGTTGTCCTCCACCTTGACAGTCGTCTCTCCAGCGATTTGACCAAACAATTCTGACCCTTGCTTCCGTGTTCCTTCTTTCAAGTGTAGTGTAGGCAGCTTGCAATGCAGGCGCAATCCCCGTCCCCCCAGCTAAAAACACAACCTCTGCAACGTCCTCCGGTATATCAAATCCTGAGTGTGGACCTCGTAGCTCGATCTGCGAACTGAGCCCCAGGCGATGCAGGTATCCCGATACCTCCCCTTTATGCTCCTTGCGTATCAAGAACCGCAGTTCGCTGTAGTCAATGGGCTTTATGGGAGGCAGTGGCGTGTATGATCGCGAGATCTGAAGCTCAGGCTGCTTTACTTCGACAGACCAAATTCCTCTGTCCCACATATCCTTGTACAGATCTTCTGTGCCATTGGCATATCGTCGCACTGTGAGGATAACACTTGTTGGAGAAACGACTTCCCTCTTCACGACTGTGAAGGGACTGAAGCGTGGCGGATCAAATGGTTTCCCGTCAGGGTCACCAGGGGAATTCAGAAGGGAAGCTCCAATTGCAAGTAGAACGCTTGCCCCTCCCAGCCATCCAAGCCAGGCTCTTGACGATTTAACAGCCAGACGTGGGGATTGTGTCTGATCAATGAGCTGCTCTGGTGCTTCTCCGCGGCGAGAAAGCCGGGCCAAAACAGATTGTTGGTCTTCGTGGGACACTTTGCTTGGTGCTGCATTTCTCTTGCTGGTAGAGGTCGCTCCATGGTTCAGGAAATTCTGGGTTGAGAAGTGTCGGTAGGACAGAGCAAGCCTTAGTAAAGGTCCCGTAAGACTTCGATCAGGGTTCATGCATAACCTCAAAGGTAATTGCCCTACAAGGAAGCGGGAGGTCATCGAACTTGGAATCGTGGGTGTGCTGAGGTACATTAAGAGTAAGAAACAATCGCAGTCCACGATAATTTTCGGGTAGGAATATCAGGCTAGGTGGATTTAGCGCCACGCTTGAACGCGTTTTAGAATCACAATAAGCGCACGCCGTGTGCTTCCCCAGCTTTAGACATGTCTCTCCCGAGGTCCTCTCCTCGTCAAAACCCTCCACATAATCGCTACAAGAAGAATCATCTCCAGATCCGAACTCTTTCGATATAAAATACTGACATATATACCCAGTAGTATCATGTTCCGTTCTTTCTATCTATCTCATTTCTAATCTTTTCCCAATTCGCCCAAGGCAGAGTTCCCATGTGGACTGCGCCTTGAATCATCCTATATCAGGCATCAGACACCTTTTTTGCGCGTTTTCTCATCGTATGGTCTTCTTGCTTTATTTGTACCCTGTAGGTACTTCCCCACCGAGGACGAATACGTATCCCTCCGCAATCTACTGGCATGCGTCGAGCAGGGACTCCACACCTGAGTCTCATCACAAGGCGGGAAGTTTATACAGAAGGCCGATAAGGAAAGGTGCTTGCGAAGACCCTGTGATCAGTATATGGTGTTATTATCTGATCATATCATAGAACAATTACCCTCAACATGTTGACTGATGACATCGCTTCAACAGTTACACCACGACCGTTCTCCCAAAGGATCCACTGCAAGACCCAATAGGAAGGGACTACCACACCAAGCCCCGATGTTATCCGCCCACTTTGCTAATATTTATGTATCGAAATAGGGAACTTTCGGCTTAAAAATCCATACTGGTGTATCGGTAACATTTCCGCCTCTCATGTGCAAACATATTGGTCGCGGTAGCGCAGTGAGTACTCTGATAATAATTACTTTGGGTATCAAAGCCTAACAATCATTAGGGGTTCGACTCCCTGGTATGGAACGTGAACTCACTACTCCACCGCTTTATTTTTTCCACAATTTTTTGAAGTTATGGTTAGCTGCCATGGTTAGCCGAAATAATGAACATTTTTTGATGCCATCAGGGAAAAGGATTTTCATGGACTCGTTGAAGTGGGCTGGTTGGGAGCCCCACTTAAGGAGTAGAACGTCACGAAATTTATAGTCACAAAAATAGAGGGAGGGCAGCCGTAATACAACTGCCATCAAAATTCTAGAAATCCGAGGAATTAATTTAGTATCATGATTTGGTGAAGATCTATGTCTAATATTCTAGTATATTTCACGCTGGAAATAGTGCCCCTATGTTTTGGATCTTTGTGAAAGCAAAAACCACCCCGGAGCTTCAATCCTAATCAGCTCCGTATCATTAGCGAGCTTGGGCGCGTCAACCGCGAACTCCAACTTGACAACAGGTCCAAAGAGTAAATACAGCTACACCTCACCTCAAACTCATACCCACGCTCCATCAGACGCACAGTTCTGATTGTCCACCCAGCATGGTGCTACGGTTTGATTAACCTTTCCTAACTGCTACGCCACGCTCCCGCCGCGACGATGGCTTCTCTCTGGACTGCCAAAGCTCCATCAGAGCCCTCGATCCCAGCGAGAGATAATGCCGATGTGGCAGACACTGGTCTGGCAGATGTTGGTCTTCCAGCTCCCCATCCTCCCACCAGCGTGCCCATGGGACGTCCCCAGCTCCAGCGAAACCAGCCTCAACCACCCCCACCTCATCAGCCTCCTCCCCCTCCAGCTCCCCAGCAGTTTGGCAATCCCAATGACTCTCTGTCGTTGATGCAGCTGAAGAAGATCGTCACCGAATTTCCAAAAATCGATCCCACATCCTACGCTTTCACGTATGCAGACACCGCGTCCTTCGAGGAGGAGGTGGATGAGTGGTTCTCATACAATGATGCAGAATACCGGCGTTTGAATCGAGCAAAAGACACATTTGAGCGCCGGTGGAAAAAGTTTGCGGATGCGGCGTGGCTGGAAGCTGAGCAGGAGCAACGGGTGAAATTTGTAGAGAGGGAAGTCAAGGGTCTACATGCTACGGATCTGCGACGGCGGTGCAAGAGTCTGCAGACTATTTTACATATTATTCTCGGCGTATGGGACGAAACTGCCGGAATTCAGCCTTCTATTGGGGAGAAAGGATCTTCGAAATCTAAGGAAAAGGAGAAAGAGGCCGAAGGGCCGAAGCCTAAAACGAGGGCTACACCACTCCAGCTGGAACATATGAAGCTTGGAATTGTATTGGTTGCTAAGGCAGATGGCATAGAGGTGTTGTTTAATGTTATGGAAAATGCTTTCAAGAGATTATGGTAAGTTCATGGCTTCTTTCCCAAGGAGTTATACTCACAGGTCAAGGGATGATGAGTTTCGTGAGACTCAATTACTAGAGGAAGACATTCCATTCATCCAAGACGAGCTGGACAATGTCACCACGATCATATATTTGACAATCGAGGGCGTTCGTAATGATCCTGTTACTTTGGAGGCCACGCGGACCGAGATTCGTCAGTTATTCTCTCTCGTTCAATTGCACCTGAAGCTAAGCGTATTAGTGAAACTTGTTCCCAGTCTTGTAGACTATTTCGTAACAATTACAGCAAGACTTAGATGGGATGAAGCAAATGAGCTGCCACAAACAAGAGTCGGTCTCAACATCTTCCCCGAAAAATTAACAAATGGCTGACTTAAGTAGATCTTCCTACTTTTTTGGAAATCTATTTTGCTCGTCTTTGGAGGAACAGCTGAAATAGAAGAAGTGAAGACAGCTACTAGCGAGTTGAGACATCTCGACAGTGATGGTGGCAAGTTAATAACTGCTTCACCGCTTGATTACCATATTTTTCGGCAGGAGATAACGTCGAAATACCCCGCATATATTCCTCCCCCGCCCCTGATACCTCTCGAGCCTGACAACAACTCAATTCTCCCACCATTACCCAATCGACCAAGCAGGTCAGGCGCCAATGGCATACTGCCACCCCCAATGAACGTCAATAGCAGCGGGGCATCCATTCTTCACCAACCAGTGCACATTGCTACTCCTGCACCATCTCCGCCACCTTCTCCTCCCGTGGGTGGCAAAGCTGGCAAGAAGCAGAACTACCAAACAAACCAGAACTTCCCATTCATGTACCCTCCCTTAGACAGCACGAGTAATAGTGCCGGAGGTAAAGGGGCAGCAGGCTTGCAGGAGCTCCTCGTCGGGCGTAAATGGGAAGGAAGCGACATCCCCAGATCGATTCTTGAAGCCGGAGCTTTATTCGCGAAGCGGATGCGAATGACGAGAGCCATGCGTCAACTATGGGACGAACGAGAACGATTTCTGAAGTTTGAACGAGGCTGGGATGGCGAAGACGATGATATCGACGAGCTGGATCTAGACACTATTCTGTCGAAAAAGCTTTCGCTACACGAAACGAAACCTGTAAAGCCAGAGGTAGACTATGGACCGAATCCGGATGTCAATGAGAAGGTCAAGCAAAAACTTGAGCTTGTTGAGCAATTCTATGTAAGTGGTATCCTGATGTAACAGTTTGAAGCTCATGATTTGCAGCAAGATTCGATACCCCATCTGCAGTCATTGGTCATTGTACTGCTAAAAGCAGTCTTGGCCAATGTAACAGCTCTGATTACACAGCCAATGGGGCAGCCCCAAGGTCTTGCGCCGGCGTTCAGGTCAGAGATTAATTTGCGCAATGGTGCGCAGGGACCGAATCGGGCCCAAGACCCGGCCCTCATTCCTTTACCAACACACAGTGTCGACCCAGCCGAACTGCCTATCGATGAGATTGAAGCAATGAGGTCGCGGGAGATCACGGCGAAAGCAGTGTCTGGCATCCTTCTCATTCTTTTGAAGTGGTTCAAAGTCTCACGTGAGCACCCTTCCCTCCCTTTTCGCAGAAACGACTAACCTTGGGAAGATATATTGAAGTTTGAATATTTGACTCAACTCCTCCTTGACTCGAATTATCTGCCGCTTGTGTTGAAGTTATTCGCTCACCAGGAGATCGACAAAGTCATCGACAGCCGGACAGACCGTGATGACATGAGGTTAGTCTTCCATTCAGCTGAGCCCACTCATTGCTCACTATGATTAGCTTCTTCTCTTTCTGCAATGTGAACAGCAAGAACACGCCGAGCGAAGCCGAGCTCGCTGAGTTGCAGGCAGAAGAAGAAAGTGAAGACGAAGCCGCACCTCCACCAATTAAAATGCGCCGTGACCTACCTGCTGCGGACGCCGAAGACAAACTGCCAGCCCTAGCTTTCCAAGAAGGTCAGCATGCAGGAAAGCGCGATCGTCCAGAAGTCGATGAGCTCGGCTACCCCACCACCGAGCTACCGTCCGAACCCATCACCGAGTTCTCCTGGCGGAACTTCTTCTCCTGCATCAACTTCCTCCGAATCATGCAGAAAATCTGCAAGCACAAAGCTCACCGCAACTTACTCCTCGTACAATACAAATCCTCGAATATCCTCAAGAAATCCCTAAAGATACCACAACCAGAGCTTCGCCTCTACACCCTGAAGCTTTTCAAAAATCAAGTCCCATACTGCGGCCGCAAATGGCGACAAGGAAACATGCGGGTCATCACAGCAGTGTACCTCCACTGCCGTCCCGAGCTGCGCGACGACTGGCTCGCAGGCAGCGACGTTGACGCTGAAGTCGAGGAAGCGCTGCCTCTCGAACAAGCACTGCGAGCGCTTACCCACTGGCATAATATCAAACGATATCCAGACCAGATGGGCGCCGATACCAAGCTACTAGAAGAAGAACACGATTTCTTCGTCCGCGAGCTCGAGAAGATGGAGTGGATTGAGGAGGGGATGGGCGAGGGCGAGAGCCAGGCTGATAGTGGGTGGGACGGGGTTGGGAATGGGTGGTAGCGTAGCGAGCTTGCGAATCTGCGTCTGAGGCTTCCACGATGTCGATGTCTGGCAATTTGGGAGCAATGGGCAGCGCATGAAGCGTAGTAATTGATGACCAAGTCCTTGATTAACTTCCGAGACCTAAATTAGTCATGAGTGATATGCGTTATGCCTCTGTTGCACATCGCCATTATTTCTCCGAGAGAGGGCCCGCCGGGGAAACGGAAACGTTGTTTGTAAGTTTCTGGGGTGGCGCTTTTATTCTTTTGTTTTGTTCGTAGGGTGGGTTGTGCTTTTGTGTTTTTGTGTGTGAGATGCGCTTAGCGGCGCTTGAAGGGGGTTGTGGTTAGTTTCAGGAGGCGGCGTTTGAGATGCGTACCGGCCGTTTGTTCTGTTGGGTCATGGGTCGAGGGAACCTGGTTTGGAGAGTTTTGGTGAGCTAGTGGGGTTGGTAATGGCATCAACGTTGACAAGCCAAATTCTATCCTCCATTTCTCCATTTTTAAAAAGCTTAGGTTGGCGTCAATGTCAGCAAGACTGTTGGTTATTGTAACATCAATCATCATGACGAAAGTGGAGCATCATATGCTCATGATAGCTCAACTACTCGTATGGATACTCGCTTTAGAGAAGTATATTAAGCAGTGAGAGAGAGAAAAACGTTTCGTCAAGTGTAACTAGAGGTACTGCACTTGTAGCTACCCCATCTATCACGAGAATGTTGACGATCACGTGACTCCAATCGAGTTTGTTGCCCGGACTGCGGGATTATTAAGAGTATTATCACGAGCATGGTAGCTACGCGACACGTGCGCATGTTGCTTTCATGCTTCGGAGTTTTCAAACACCAAAAGAGAGCTGTGGAGGGTATGTTTTAAACTTTTGAAGTGCTTTATGTGCTGACTCTAAGATAATGTGGAAAGGTCAAGGAAATGATGATCATAAGTCGTACAGTCTACTGCATGTTCCGTTTCTAAGAACATTCAACCTCACCATCTTACAGAAGAAGATAAGAGAAACCCATAAGGCCGGCCACCACCCCGAAAGATGCAACACTCAACTGAGTTCCATCAGACGACTTTGTTGAAGTACTCGAAG